AAGAAGAGAGAGAGAGAGAGAGAGAGAGAGGGAGAGAGAGAGAAGGAGAAAAGAAAATTTTGGAAATTTCGCACTCTTAAAAAGTAGGCATTTCCAAGAAATACGGATATGCCATAAGTAAATACGAAACTGAAGATTTGATCAGTAGTGATTTTGTATAATTCACCATACATCAGTATTATTATTTTTATCTTAATTTGACATAATCTATGATATTGGACAATTTTTTATGATACGAAAGATATCGTCAGAGTGATTACTTTCTTTTAGAACTGTTATTATAATGGGAGACTTTTTGAGAGTAATGAAAAGGAAATAATAAGAAAATAAATCGAAATTTACATTTTCAGTTTATGAATGTTCTGTGAAAAGCGTGAAGAACATGCTACCAAATAGCACTACATGAAATGCTTTACACAGAGGCCCAAATTGATGACACATTCCTGACATAGAGCTGTTCTATACTTAACCATGATCTGACTAGTCTAAATCTAAATCACAGCAAAAATGATGTCCTGAATCTGCCATGAGGTATGTAATAAAAGTAGTGATTTCACTGTTATCATAGAGATAATTTTGTATTGTGCCTTTCCGGAAAGGATGATATTAGCATGAAATTTATCAAAACATTTTTGGACTTATTGCATTCAAACTATATGTGAACAAAGAACCGATTTATGAATTCCACTGTTAATAGCATAGTTTGATAGCATTCTACTGATAATGTGATTTATACAAATAAAAAAATCGTGCTATAGTTTTTGATTCATTTTTTTTCATTTTCACTTTTTTTTAAATGATAGATTGTTTACTACGAAAAATTAGATAATTTTATTTGAAGAATATCCAAATTCCAAATTTGATCCAAATTTGATTGGTCTCTCATTTCTAAAAATCATTGATATGACTTTTAGGATTAACAAAATAATAAATTTATTAAAGCGATCGAGAAATACTGTGTTAATCAAAAAACCTTCCAGGCCACAGCTTTCCGTTTAGTTATTCAACAAAGGAACCTCAATTTGTACGATACTTCCCACTCTTCCTGAACCGTTGCTTTCGTTTGCCATCAGTATCATTATCACCAGCTATAAACTTTCTCGTGTTGAATAAGTATTCAATCATTTAAATCTTTCACATACGGAAACTGTCGTTTTAGAAGGAATTTGAAGTTAATGTTTAAAAACTAAAACCAAATCCAAAACAAAATTTGACAAATTGTCTATTCTGTGCAAATGATGACACACCCAATTTAACAGCCACATTTTAAACAATACGCCCTAATTTAATAAGTCATATTTCAAGCATTAGGCCAACAATATTGCATAGTCCTTAAATGCAATGCATTGATATAATCACTTTCAATTGATCATCAGTTTGTATTTATTTCTATCTCATCTATTTTATTCAAAATTTAATTGACTGCTTCTTGCATTGTTTTATTGTAGAACAATTTCTAAAAACTTTCTATTGTCTTATTAATTTTAACATATAATTCACTCTAAAATTCCAAAAAAGAAAAAAAAATTTGGGAAGAAAATTGTACAAAAAAATATTCTGAGAAAAATATATGCTTTACAAAATATATATTCTGAAACGCCCGTCTCTCCCTCTCCCAGCTCACCTCCAAGTAAGAACGGTGAATGATTTCCGGAGAAACTGAGTGCACCAATCTATTGTTTTTAAAAGTCAGTAAATTTGGATTTGAAATTCGTTCATGTATTTGAAATGTATTCGAAATGCAATATTAACAAATATGAAATAAACCAAAGTATTGAAATTTACGGAATACAACAACCAAAAAAGTTGACATAGAGATATGCTTTGTGATTTCAAGTGAAATCAAAGCAGATGATTATCAAAGCAGATGAGAATCAAAGCAGATGATTATCATAGCAGATGAGAATCAAAGCAGATGAGAATTCAAGAAGAGTATGTACTAAACTAAGGCGGCACATTATTGTGGCTAGAAAACATTCAATTAATCAGTGAAAATTTGAAAGTTTCTATAAATATAACAATTTGGATTATTTAGTGAAGCAGAAGAAAAGACAATGAAAGTCTGAGTAGAAGTGTAAGGATTTCCTGAACTAACTTATTCTCTGTGTCATTCGATCCAAACTTCCTGAATGGCTACTGCTTTCACAAGCCGTCGATAAGTCATTTAACAAATGTTTTGAAGGCAACGCAAGTTTTTCATCCCTAAAGGAAGTGTAAACAATCGTATTTCTTTTTAGCTATCTTTCAATTTATTTTATTATAAATTTCTGTTAAATTGCCGTAGAAATCAATTTACATGAAACAGCATATAGCAGAAGTGGCTTTTTAATTACAACCTATAAATCTTCATGCAAATCTGTGTATTTAATTAGTTCGCACAACTGTAGTCATTTGTAACTTTCATACCTAGAAAATAAAATTCTACCTCACTTTATATGCTGCTTCTCTATTCCCTCAAAATGATAATTATTTACAAAGTGTCACCATAATGAGATGAGATTGATATGGTTGGTCACAAGTAAAAAATAAAGAGCTGACTAAACAACCTTCTCTGAAATATTTATTTATTTTAAGCTATCGTGAAACCATTTACTTCTTATTTTTATCCTTTATTGCTTTAGTCATTATATTGATGACATTTATTTTGAAATAATTGTTGTTGTCTGGAATCCCGCAACGTGGATAATGTCGTTCAACATGCTCACGAATCACACAACAGCGATGATTACGTGGTGAGTTTAGCGTATTCTCGATCGTATTTATCATCTGAATTTCGATAATTCATTATTTAAATTGAAAACGATTAAATTACACTTTTATAGCGATTAGATCATAAATGTTTGAGTGCCCAACAACTGCTCATGTGAAAGTGATGTAATTTAAAATTATTCCCTGCGACTTGTACCACTTTTGATACTTTTTGGAAATGCTCCCGCGAAGTATGCTATAATGAGAAATAAGATATAAATTAAAGCGTAGTACGATACGTCCGAAAACTTTTACTAAATAATTAATAAGATAGGACAACGGATATTTTCTATACTATAGGTAAACTGGATGGAATGGTTCCAAGTTTGTCGTAATAAGTGTCGCCAACTGACTAAATGATATGTAACCTAGCAGTGATTACGATGGAGTAATTGACCAGATAATGGTAATAGTCTTGTCAGTACTTGATAGTATCATTACAGATTATATAGGACGTTATGGAGAGAAGCGAATGTTACAATTAACAAATAAAATATTATGCAAATATGTGCAAAGGAGCAAGTCATCTACACTTTTTGGTAATCCAATGCATTTTTCTCGAATGATTTCACGATCTTTTGGTGATAGGAATGGTGACCGGATGCACGAAAAGAGAATTTCGGCTTCGCTATCTGTCCGGATCATTTTCTTGAGCCAGTGAATCAAACGCTGACTTAGCTCGACCTCGGATGATATGTCTACGTCACATCTTTGTTATAAAAATTGCAAAATATCACATAAATTGGCATAGTTTTGAATTTTTTGGATTTCTAACTTCCTGAGAAAAACATTAAATATGGATTCTTATTTTTCTTTTTAGACAAGTAAAAAGTTTACATCGTCTGTTGATTGCTGGAAAGACGAAAAATTTACTTTTCTTATGTTTTCAATGATAAAATAAGTAAGATGTAATGGCATCTTGATAAGCTTTACCATCAAAGAATTACCTGCTATAAAGCATAACCAAAACCGATGCTGGAAGAATATAGAAAAAAGTTGAAGTAGTCACTTCGTTGATATTTTTGGCGGCAGATTCCACAAGCGCTGATGTTTCATTAATGCGCAAAAACATGCTCCAGTCAGAAGATATCAAATTTAAAGCTAATAAAAGATTCGATTGTGGTCCTTTTTCCACTTTTTCAATAACGTGCTGAATATATCAAGCTGTTTTTCAGAGGTGATCTACTAGTTTAACTTTTAAGATTTTGAACTTGGCGTGTCGTTTTATAAAATGTTGATAGGCATTCAATAAGTATTCATTCATACGTGCCCTTTATTTTTATTATTTTGTTTAGAGATGAAGAAACTTTAACAAACCTCTGCGATTAGTGAGGTAAATTGATTCATGCGGAAAATGCGTGCTAGTTGGAGCAAATCGGTAAGAATATTATCACTCAGACGTAAATTACGCCTATCTACTCCAGCAACAAAATCAGTCAATGTACGTACAGCGCCAACGTTATAGCAAGATAGATCAATTGCTGGTGGTACTTTTCCGCGTTTCACCAACTGAAATATCATTTACTTTGACAGGATTGAGTGAGCAGGGATGGTTTTTCCTTCAAATATTGTTTCGTTTGCTTTTGTATAAACAGCAGAACTGCCACTTGCATAAATCTTTGATGGATAAACATTTAGAATTGTCTCAGATTGTCATACGATAAAGAAATAAGCGTTTAACTTTTAGTTTTTAAAGAAAAGAAATGGGAGAAGTATGTTTGATATTAGCATGCAGTCGTGTTTTACCATTACTATATCTAAAATAAAAATTACCAGGGCGATTTTTTCCGAGAATTTGGCAAAATTTTCTATTTTGAGTAAGTAATTGCGACGTCTTGTACGTAAGATGATGTTATCAGATGATTTGTTGAGACAAGTTACTACATGTTCTGTCATATCACTGTAATGTTTTTACTGATAGTAGTGAACAGTGGTTCGAAAAAAGATATTAATACTGATAAAACACTTTATACAATCAATTACAATAATAAAGTATTATGAAGAGATTACAGGGATTCTCTTTCGTTAATTATTAATTCTCCCCTGCGATATTTATGGTTCACTTTTCTAGGTACGTGTTTTTTTGCACGCAAAAGTCAATATTTTCATTTTTAAACCATAAATTTAAAAAACTAACTTGTAATTTTCAGTGTAAAGTACTGCATGAGTCATAAGCTAATTCACTTAATAAATTAATAAATCAGTAGAAAAATGATAAGAACTTCATTAATACCACATTAATGTTATCAGAAAATATGTGAGTTCAATAACTTCCTAATCAATGAGACTCTGAAGTAAGTACAGTCAAACAGTATTACTATCCCTAATTTATTATGAGAGTTGTGGAGAACTTAACATGCAGCATTTCAAATAAGACGCACTCGGTAAGAGCTACATGTGTCTCGGAACGAATATCAGCTTCTTCTGCTTGCATGTCGCCAGTTATTTCCGTTTGCCGAAATACTAATGATATACTTTGAGAAAATATATCTTATTTAACTACTTTGAATCATGTAAATTAAATTCAAGTATTCTTGGATTCTGAATGTAATTCAATGAATAAATTTGCTATTTTGCATATTAGCAATTGTCAACAACATTGTCCACCTTATTTGCTAAGAGATCTGTGTTACATTGCACGTTTCATTTCATACATTGCATGAAAAGAATGTAACTGAAATATTAAATGGAATTATTTAAAGTTCTCTTCATTGCATGACAAAGTATAGTTTATTGATAGATGTGAGTTGGTAAGGTTGGTGATTGCTTTTGCTTCTAATAAGTAATATTTTGAAAAATTTAAGCTTTTCTATTTCGTTGAAGCATGCTTTTTTCAGCTTCTGAAATATACGATAAATACAGCAATATGGGTTCATTTGGGAGTAAATCAACTTCGGTAAAAAGTCATGTAGAAGTGAAAGGTAAAAGAAATCAATGACTGCAATTGATCGCCATCCAACTGCAAGTTTCTTAACTACCAAAATTTTTAAAATATATTGATGTTTTTGATAACAGGAAAGAAAAGCCAGCGAAAAGAAATGAAACCACTGGATGCGAAACAATCCATCAGTAAGCCTGGATCATATACAAAAAAGGATCCAATAACTGATGTGGAAATGAAACAAACCGGTTCTTGGATCAGTAGTCAGGAGTTTAAACGAAACAGAGATTTTATGAAATTTTCAAAATCAAAATCAGAAAAAAAAAGAACGCATTGTCAACACATGGAAGACAAACAAGTATTGCACTTTCGGAAATAATTTAGAAAAAAGTCAAAGAAAAATAAAAAAAATATATTTGGAAAACTTGAAAAATTATTGTCATTTCGTAATTTAAAGTAAAATATTGTCCTTTCTCTGTCTGAGCTAATAAACAAGAACTGCAAGATAAAGAGACTTCATAAAATGGTTTATTTTTTAGCTATAGAATGTTCTAATTTTTTTATATAAAAGATAAATCTGGTCTTGACAGACTATCCATAAAAGGAAAAATTATGAGTAGTACTAGAATAGATTAAGTCCATTCACTTTTGATGCATAAGCAAGGAAGTTTAGTAATGTGATCAATGAATCGAGATATGATTGACATTCATTCAATTTGCAGGATCAACAATTATGAGGCGTCAACGAGACAAATCACTAAAGGAAGAACTTTCACGAAGGTTTCTTTCTTATCGGTGCTGTCATCGACATAATCACCATCATTGATAATAACCATTATTTGATGCTTATTTTATATAATTGACGGTATAACCTTTCGTTCGCAAAGATTTTTATAGAATCAAAATCGTAAATCCGACTGAAATGCAGCCTGAATTGACACAGCATAGTTTGCGAGACAAAGTTGGAACATCGAAATCAAAAGGACAAGTAACTCAGAATCGTGATATGGATAAAGAAATTGATGATAACATGGAGAAAACACAAGAACAGTGTACGAGAGATATAGGAAGTTAATCGATACATTCAACTGTTGTTGACTGTTTCATCTTTTCATATTTACAAATAAACTAAAATTTGTGGAGTTTTGAAGTCATTTAATTAATTAACTTCTCGGAAAAAACTTATATGGTTATAAAGCAAATGGATGGATGTCTTTCGTCCACGTGTTTATTTGTTATTGTGGGCGCACTAATTGATTACAATCGCACATTTTTGCTACTTAGAAAGACAGCTAGTCATTTGTGCAATATTAGTCAGCCAAAACTGAACATATTCGATATAAAGGAACGAAATAACTAAACTTCTATTCAGCCCTGAATAACTATCAGCTTGTGATATCCATTGGAAATTCTATTTTAAATTCTACTAATGCAATAAGAATTCATTTATCATATCCATCACTTAAAGCTTTTATTCAGCATTCCCAACTTTTCTTCGCCTGATAAGATCACTTTATCTTTCGAAGGATTTTACGATGTTTACTACATTAGTTAAAAATGACAAAAATTCCTTCCACATGGTGAGATATCAGTGATTACTGACTAAAAGTGCCAAACCACAAACAAGTAAAATAATTTTTTTATAATCCGTTTTGATAGATAAAATGTAAAAAAATCATCAGTTTAAACGACCTATATTTTGCGATTACAATTACGGACATATGAAGTACAACTATTCACAAAAGTCTCTTTTCATTTTTTTAAAATGCTAAAATTTATGTAAATTTATGTGAAATTCATGGAAGTGAAGATGGATAAAATTTTTCATTTGCATTTCACGTCGTTCATTCTCAGATTTTTTTGCTGATCGGCTTGTCACATCATTTTTTGCTGGCACTTTGATGGTAATTGAACTATGACTTTCTTAAAATGAATTGAATTCATTTAAAATGCAAAAGAATTCAGTTTATTAAGCATCAGATTATTACAGTAATATGGGACCATTTGGAAGTAAACATACTAAATGTGAAAGACATTCAAATGCAACATCAGGTATTTTAAAAAATTTTCGTTAAAAGACAGCTGCGTAACACTATATAATAATCTTTGGTGCCATATTTGGCCTAGGCTTTGAAATTTAAAAACTAATTTTCAGAAAGGCAAAAAAAATTATTCTTGCCAAGATTACGAAAACGTCTATTTCAAAGATCTGTTAGTTCATGGAAGCGTAACAGAAAACGATCATCAGATAAGCATAGAAACGAAAAATCACATGGATCACACTTACGTCGGAAACGTGACGAATATTCAATTGACCATCGGAAAGAAAATAGCAAAGAAACGAGAATTGGAAGGGAAAGAAGTGAAAAAGAGCAAAAAGAAGCAAAAACTTCGATTAAAAGAGGTGTAGCATAGTAGTGTTTCATAACTTATAAGTTACTTGTAGGGAATATTTTGGTTTCTTCCCAAAAAAAAAAATCATTTTGAAGTTCAATGTTTACTTGCTATTTCAACTTCAATAAATATAATTTTTATACTTTTTTAGAAGGAACCGAGCGACAATCAAGCAAAATTCCGAGCAAAATCTCAAAATCAGCGCAGCGGCCAAGGTTTTATAATTCTTCAATCGTTTTTACTTATTTGCGTAGCTCATTAATTAAGTACCAATACCAAAATAATAGTTGGAGCTAATGATCAAACCATAATCATTAGATCAGACGTTCAGATTCTTAATGGGATGAATCTTCCATAAGAATCCTCCATAATCCTTCATAATATCCTAACAAACTGAAAGAAATAGTACATTTTATTGAGAAACAGGAAGAATTACCTCAGTTAATTATTTATCTAATAGAGAAGAGGACTAAGGCACACTCATGATAAACTTACACTGATTATAAATAACTTAGAATAGGGTACTATAAGTGTGAGCGGAAAAATTATTTGTTAATCGTAACATCCTATATGCTTTTTAAAATGAGTAAAGAGAATGCTTAAATCAAGTAAGAAAGGTAGTGTTGTAGAAAGACTGAATTGCGAAGAAGTCTCAAAAATACTGAATCACACGAGTCAACAAGAGCGCCATCAGAAGCTCATTCTACAACCAGTGACTCAACAATTCATAGGATGCCGGATATTGCGGTCCAAGAATGCCAAAGGAAGCACAAAAGAAAGGTAGCAGTCAAGTGCGTTATTTAATTTGTTCTGTTATATTTCACTTATTTCAAAAGATCAAAACTTCAATGATACCACATGTCACACATTTCTCTTCCTCCTTCTCACCAAATGTTCATCAGTCCATTTACTGAAGCCTTGATCTTACAATGATTCCATATTCGCGTCTTCAAACTTTCAATATTGTGTTATATTTTGTTTTTTCCGCTTCCATCATGTCTACTTTCAAACTCATCCCGACGTTGACAACAATTTGGAATAGCGCTGTCGAAGTGCTTCTTGTATTGTCAATCTAGCAGAACTCTTGACAGGAAATTTTGATAAGCAATTAGTAAAAGGGACGAAATGACCTACTGATTTGGATATATCAGTTACACTTTCGCTCATGGATTTTAACAATAATGTTCATTATACCTAAACAGTGCTTTTGTAATTTTGATCTTCTAAAACTTTCTAATTAAGCTATCCTCCAGTGACTTATAACAATGATGAATCACTATTTTTCGACTCCGAACAATTTGGTCAAACTATTTTTGAAGTCAAAAAAATTCATGTTTAATTCGGTACTGAAACAGTTAATTTCCTACAAAGTGGACCTTTGATTTCATAACTTTTTTTCGAAATAACTTTCTGCTGAAATCCCTTAATAAAAAAAATTTAAGTACAACTGACATATGGCTTTCAAAATTCATTTTGTCCTCATTCTCGTTCATGTGCAAATAATGAGAACCTTGATATTTCAAATACCCTCCATAGTCCGAAGGATTAAGCTAAGGTTATCTTCTTACCTTCTTACTTGCACTTTACCATTATCATTTGCAGAAATTCCTGTGAAACATTACAATCGTGGCACAGAATTCCCGGATGGTCGCCTTCTTTATCAAGTCGGCAAAGCATTAGAAGTATCACATTTTTATTTTAAAGCTTCCTTTTTAATAGAGTTTGGGTTGGTTATGCTGCTGTGATTTAGAAGAGTCCTTTGAAATCTGGCTCGCTTTTGCTACATTTTGAAATGTATTTCAAATGTTTTTGTATGCTATTTTAAATATTTCATTTCCAAAATATTATTTTGAGATGTCCGGAAAAGGATCAAAGCATTCTTTAGCCGTCCTATGCAAGATGCATCAGTGCAAAAATTTGTTGAAAAAATTAAAAAACGGAATGAATTGCGGAAAGGAAGCATTTTCAAGGAGGTATTTAAATTTATTATTGAGATATATCTTATCATCATGCAAATAGGAATGAAAGAATAAAATGTGGGCCCTACCATTGTGCATTCGGTTTTTCATCAAACAATCCTTCAACCTGAGAATCTGAAACATCAAAAAAGAAAGATCATTTGACCTATCACTTATTCATACTTTCTTCTTAGCTAAAAATGCTTCCGACTGATGCGTCTAAAAGGATGATAATGAATGATAAATTTGCATCATTTTCTTTTCCATCTTTTAGGAAGTGCCAGAAATACCATTACGGAGTGCAGATGAGAAATTTCCATTCAGACGTCGAGTTGAGAGGTATTTTTAAGCTATTTCATTAAAAAATCTTAACAGGTAATATATGAAAACTGTTGTATGCACTTGACATGAAAAAGATGTAACATTTAATTATAATTTACGTCAGATATGAAAATATGCTGATAGAAACCAATGACAAAACCCTTGTCCTATAATGTATCGGTTGTAGAGCCTTCCAAAACTTCCATTTTATTTTGGAGATTTCGGAATATAAATTTTAATAAATCGGAACGGATCAAAGATTTTCTTAAATCACATATTGAGAAACGAGCAAGATTTTTCAGGTATGAACCAGGAATGAGAGAGGAAGATATTAAAATTATTTTACTCAAGGTTTAATCCACTAAAATTCACTAAAGTATTTCAAAAAAATGTAAATAAGAAAACAAGTTTTATAGACAGGAAAAAAAATCAAGAAGCATTAGACGTTAGCACCAAATGGAACTGAGCCTAATCTAACCTGACTCAAAATTATGTCTGCGACAAAGTCATCTTGATGATTTCAATCTTTTTGTCCAAAAAAGGTTTTCGACTAACCTTCGTGGTGAAATCTAAGTTTTCATATTTTAGAAACCAATTCCAAAAGTGATCAACAATGACAATGAAGGAAAGCTATTCGATGAAGATGGTCTACCATTTTGGAGTAAATTTAGCAAACTACAAAAGGTTTGTGCAAAATTTATTTCCAACATTAATGTTTTAAAATTTAACATTATGTTCACGCTGATGTATCCACTCTTCAGAATAGCGAGAAAAGTATTGAAGAGACAACCGATGATGACCTACCCATGGATTCGGAAATATTGCTTGACGTTCAGGCTGGGCTGCGCAAACTTGTTAAAATGCCCAAAGTCAGGTGAACGGACATTAAGAATACACACAAAAGACTATCATAAGGTGATCAGTTGAAGAAAGTGAAAAATGCGCAAAAAACAAAAAATTTCTTTCTTCAATTATTTTCTACTTGTCATCTTTATTAACAGTAATTGAAATATCTTGAAATTTAGAGTTGTAATGGATCCATATGCATCCTTGGATTATTTAAAATCCCGCGATAAAATTTTTTTCACTGCTGAGGTAATATTCAGCAATACAGTCAGATCAATGGTTAATTTAAACGATGAAATAAGCAATGAAGAGATGATTTCCAAACGAAATCGGAAATTGGGCATGGTAGGATCCTAAAGGTGTTTTTTACCCTTTTTTTTTCTCATGACGGCATTGTACTTCCAAGATTAGAAAAAAGAAAGAAGATGGAATATGAATTTCAGACTTATCGACTGATAAAACTCTTTATTAACAATAATAATACAGTGTGGTAATTCTTAAATTTCAACTTTTCTTTCATTTTTGTTATGCTTGAATCCAATTTAATTTTTGTAATGATTTCAGTGCAATTCTAATTCATCGTCAAGTATTGTTCATGGAAATGTATGATATAAGAAGTGTAAATATCGTATTACTTTTCAGATATCGATAGAGGAACCGATTAAAATGACGCGATATGATCAAAATAATCCATTAATACATGTACAGGTACCAATATAGGGAAATGTCTTCAGTCTATCATTTCTAAAATCACTTTTAATTTAAAGCACATAATTTAAGGCTTGCCAACAGTTCACTGCGTTGGATCTTATTCTGTATGTCTCTAAGAATTTATAGTTGCAATAATCATCCCTTTTATTTAATATTTATAGTTCTTTCTCATTCACTGAACTGTCATTGTCAATCATCTCTTGTCATATATGCTTCTGAAGCATCGAAAAAACACAATTGAGTTGTTTCTTGGCATTCTGAAAACTGATAACCAATCAAATCAGCATGCAAAGTTTGCTTAATGGTCAACCTTCAGAAAAACCATAACATTAATTGCACGAAATCTTAACTCACTTTTTTAAATCCAGATAAGCAGTCTTGTCCTACTACTTTTCCCGAGGTGTCTCCGTCCATATAAATATAAATAAATTTTACATATTTATTTATATTTAAATATATTTTAAACATTTTAAATTTTTTCTAATTTTTAAAAAATTTTTTTATATTTTAATTTTTTAATAATAATAATAAAATATTTATTTATTTATTTACTTATATTTATCTCTCTTCTGCATGAGAAGCTATGGGATTCTGAAAGATTTCAAGAAAGATTTTCTAAAGTTTGGTAATTGATTAAAATCCAATCACTTATCCATGCAGAATGTATTTCATGCTACATTTTGAGCCTTAATACTATTTACTGAGCTATACCTTTGCTGTCTGCATTCATATTGGAAGTCAGGTAGTCAACCCTTGCTCTTTTACTCAACGTAAGATTTCCGACCTCCCTGAGCTAAGCATAGGACACCTGCATTACGTTTCGACAGATGTGCCATCCAGTTAAATTTACTAAATAATTTATTCAAAAAGAAAAAATTATTGATGTAATTCCAAAAACATTGGCCAATGCACTGGACAATGTTTTTGGAATCGTGCGATAGTTATCACAAATTATTAAAAATTAAGATTCGCAGAAAAAATCATAATTTTTTCTCCTAATTTAAAAAATTTTCTGTTATTGCACAAAAAGTTTGATTTCCAAAACGTTCCCTTACTGATATTTTAACAAAGATGAAATCGTGAAAAATCAGCGACTTTAGCAGTGGCTGATATGAATAATAACAGTTTACAAATCAGGCCAAAAGGAAAAAGATATGACTGATTCAACAAAACTTGTTTATTTAAAGATAAAAAACTGCTTAAAAGAATTTCCGGAAGGAATCAATAATTAGAATTCAAGACTACCAATATTTCTATGTTAATGAAATAAACAGGTTAACACAGACGGTGAATAAGCTCTAAAAAAACAAAGGAAAGTAAACTCACTTTGTACTTGAAGTATCTATCAAAATAATACATCAAATACTTACAGCCCCAGTGAGGTGTATTTCATGTAACAGTATCGGACTTTATAGTGAAAGGTGTCTGATCTGCCCGTAAAATCAAAACAGACTCTTAACATCTACTGACAACTGATATATTTTGATTATTTAAATAATCATTCAAGAATTTTTCTTTGTTCTGAGAAATTTCCAAATCCCAAAAAATCAAATTATAAAACTTGTTACCAGGCAAGATATTTTAAGATAAGGCGGAAATGGGGTTTTTTTGAAAAGAAATAAAATTTGATGATTATTTTTCAAGCAAGAAAGGAATTGGCTCAGTAATTATACAATGCAGATTAGGCCACAAGACAAGAAAGAAAGATACAAAGCAGCGCGCATGCAAATAGTAACCGGTTAATTTGTTTTTCGGAAAAATGCCGGATCAGAAAGTTAAATCACGGATTAACAAAAAAGAGCAATCAATAGTTTTGAAATGGGTTGTAGGATTTGAGAGTGAAACTGAGACATGAAACAAAATTGAAATGAGATCATTTGATGAGTGGAACGCTTCGGAGAGATAGAAATCAAGTTGAGGAAAAATACAAGCGGCAAAATCTGAATATCATTGTTATATTTAATTATTGGGTACAGAAACTACAGCTTGAGCTACGAATTTAAATTAAAGAAAACTAAAGCATGAATCCAAATCTATAACTCATGATCCGAATCCAATTTCATGCAAATAAGAATATCCCACTTCAATAAAGACTTTTCGAAACTAACGGCTTTACTGCCACGGAATATTTTCTTGACTTTGAAAGACAAAAATGTGAACAAAGTCAGTTTTTTATAACATAACTTACACAATCATCTCGATTAAGCTCAGAAGTACGAAAATCATTACAAAGATGAAATTATTTTTTGGGAAAAGAATTATTTTTCGATTTCTTCCGAGAGAGACTATCTAAATTTAAGGGAAATCGATGTCGAAAATTTTTGGAAACAAAATTTAAAACCTTATAAAAGAAAACATTTTAAGAACTCTCAGGGGAATATGACACTAATTCATATGAGATTTAAAATAAAAAAGAGGAAAATAAACGAGATCAAATATTCTGTATCAATTAGTATGACCAATTAGTTAAAAAAGAGACAAGAAAAGAGATGAAATATCAATAATTAAGTGTGAAATTAGGATTTACGAATGAGAAATTGTGGAACTCCTCTTGATTTATTGCCCTGGAAACGGCTAGTTCGGTTGGCGTAAGTACTGGCTCTTCCTTCGTAAAGTCAGTATCAAAATTGCTTATGTCACGTTTTGACTTCTAAAATTGAACCAAGCAAAAATTAAAAACAGAGATTCTAGGTATTTTAATGAATTGAAAAAATATGAAATATCATACAAAAAAAGCAAACTGCAAGCTTCGTTAAGTGAATGTCCCATTAATTAGCTTTAGAACACATCCATTATCCGAACTCACTCCTATCTCATCATATCAAAAATAAAAAATTCACTTACAATTTTAGGCTTGAAAGGAGGTTTGACTCGTCGTGCCTCCAATGCTTCCCAATCGATATCCCAGAAAAACGGATGCGTACGAATTGTATCTTCACCATTTCCTGATTGCATGCAACCCAACCGTTTCGTAGGATTTTTCGTCATCAACTGAAGGAAGCAATTGGTTGTTTGCATATCGCTGAACATATATCTTAGCATTTGTATTTCCCTCTATTGTTAAAACCTCCGGAAAGTGAGATTTCAAGTTTTCTGAGTAATTCAAGTAGTAAGTTGAAAACAATAATTTAAAATTTATTGATGATTTAACAGAACAAAATGAAAGTAATTTTAATATTACTTGACCACTACGATAATATTAGTAGTGATTATGAGTTAATTTGAGATCGATATGTCACGTATGTTTATCAGAAGGAGCCAAAGTATATCGTATATCGGAGGATACTAATAACAGGTAATCAGTATTAAGATTTAATTAATCGGTAAAATTGCGTATGACATCGGATGCATATTACTGAGAATATTGATTTCGAATTCACAGCACTCGAACCAAATGATTTCCACAGATTGAATTAAAGGTTGAAATTTAAATTACCGCTTTTAAAATGCTGACTGCTTCCTTGGAAAGCCATACGGGATAAAGGACATCATCGTGCAAAATGGCTTCAAAGAGCTCATCCTCATTGTCAGCTTCAAATGGTGGTTGTCCAGCCATCATTTCATACATGAAAACACCTAGCGCCCACCAGTCTACTGATGCACCGTACTCCATTTCTTCCAGTACCTGAACAAAAGTTTTATTCCATAATGCGAAAGGTTAAAGAGGGCGTTGAGACACTAGAAACTTCACAAATATATGAACTTGTGTCACAGTGTTTACCATCCCATCACCATCACCACCATTACTCAATCACCTACCTCTGGCGCAATATAGTCTGGTGTACCACAAAATGTTGAAGTAAGCTTGGAATTAGTAATGCCTTCTTTACACATGCCGAAATCCGCTAATCGGCAGTGTCCTTCAGCATCCAAAAGAATGTTATCAAGTTTAAGATCACTAAAAATTTCTTAAATTACTTCAAGAAATAACAAAGATTTGCATCATATCATCGTCATTCTGCAGTTATTATTGAATCAAATATTTACATGCATGATATCCATCGATAAATTCTGGGAAAACATATTTAATAGCTATTTTAAGGATAAATTTCTAAGCAAATAGTACAACTAACCGATAAATAACAGCATTGCGATGCAAGAATTGTAATGCGCAGGTAACTTCGGCAGCATAAAAACGAGCACGTGGCTCATCGAATTTTCGTGCCCTTTGTATTTGGAACATCAGATCACCACCATTTACATATTCCATAACAAAAAACAATCGATCCTGAAAAATTCGAACTAACCTGAGTTTATGCATGGGATTATCTTAATTAATTTTCCTTCTAATCTTTTGCTCATTCATTTCCTTTGACTGTTGCATCTTAACCTTGCAATTAACGATCAAATTCTTGCGATCACAAATAAATAGACATAGGCAAAGAAAAGAAGTTAATGAAAAGACGATGTAATGTGACAATTAGAAGAGCGAAAACTTACCACAGTTTGAAAACAAGAATGTATGGCTGTAAGAAATGGATGTCTTGCTGCTAAAGCTAATATCCTTTTTTCACACATAGTACAGTCAACATCATCGTCCTGCAGTATCACCTCTTTCTTTAATATTTTCACTGCGTATACTTCACCGGTTTTCTTATGCTCTGCTAGCATTACCTGAAAAAGAATGAGATATAGTATCCCGGAGGTCACTGTGAAAGACAAAATTCCGAGGATATCTGCAAAGAGATGATGATCTAATCAAATGAAATGGTGACATTTGATATCAACCCTACATCATTGGTTCAAGTACTTAAACTCAAAATAGATTAATTGATCAATTCTGTACTTATGATGACATATCGAAAATTCAGATGCACTCAAAGTAAGTTGGGACTAAAACGAAAATTATATTAAGATTTCAAATATATCATAAACAATATCACAAGGACATTTCCTTTCTAACTGTAAATAAAAAATCCGATGATGTTAACGTACCTTCCCAAATGATCCTTTGCCAAGAACATTGATAAAAGTAAAATCATTAATAGTTACAGCAGTTGGTTTTACAAGAATATTTGCACTGTCATTTGAGTCCCCATCATCATTAAGCTCTTCTTTCGCTGTATTTACATAGTGTTTATTATCTTTGCATTAATTATTCATACACATTTTTCTTTGTAATTTTACTTTTCGAATGGAAGTAAAACTGATGGAATAAAGATTCAGAAATGAGATAAGGAACCATTCGGAAATTTTTAGAAATTGCAGAATTTTGCAAGGGATTATTTTGAGAATTTGATGTATAATCATAGCAGTACGACTCGACATAAAACTGAATTGAGGAAGATATATGCTATGAGATTTATTGATAAGAGCCAAATAGCTCACAAAAGTTAGAATGGAGTGATTCGATGGTGAAATTAGTCACCCATATAAAAGATATATATTGTGGAATTAACAACAGGTAAGATTTTTAGTTAAGTGTTATGAAATTTATGTGAAATTTGAAATTCGAGTGAAAATTGGATTGTAGAACTTGCCGATCTCAGGTTTGGAAATTATTTGGGTTATTGAAGTAGTAGCTGGGACTGCTCCTGCTAATAGTGCGCTCGGCTCATCACAAACATCCCCAGACATTATTGATGGCTGGAAATATAAATTGCAAATTGAATAAAATTTTTGATCATTACTTAATTTACAGTACAAAAGAAGAAGACCAGTTTGCCTGTGAAAGTTTACTCAGTCCTGAAATGTTATGAGCCAAAAGCGCAGCTGTATGTGGACGAATAGAACAACGTCACCTAGATGTCATCTTAATAATCAGGAAAAAAAGGCTGAAAAATATGGATGAACATATAATATGATTTACAGGGGCTAAAACTAGAATTGCACTTCATCAATTTGTTATGGATTTCGGAAGAAAGTGAAAGAAAAATTTTAATTCTTTTCAAATGACCAATTAATGCAGCTATCTGGAGAAGAAAATAAAAGAGAGGTAGAGCAGGAAAATGAGATAGAAATATTTACATACTAACGAAATGTTTTGAAATAAGGCAAACAACTGAAAAGAAGATATTTGGCATAGCCCAATAATGTCATATCATCGCTTCTTTTACAATGATTAAGTTACTTTTATATTTGTTTTTTTCTCCTTTTTGTTTTGAGCAATATGAAGTACTCAATACTAAAGGTATATGTATAATGATGTGATATGATAAGAGTGCATGAGTGTATGAATGCATGAATTTCGTGGCAAAAATAAGCCAGTAAGCAAGGAAATCAGAATGTGATGCATCTGTAAAGATAAGAATACTTTTGGATACTTGTACATAGGTTAGTAACTCTAAAATTGAGATCGATGTCATACCAAGATATACTGATTAGTTGTTAAGAAGGGAAAATTGCGGTCAGAAATAATTAGAGCAAAAGTAACCAGATAAAACAATTATGCGAGAAATCTGTAGTCTTTAGTGGAAAATCAAAATTCGGTCTATATTAGTATGAGTGACTGAGATGAAGACTTTTCGGACGGAAAGGAAATGAGGACTAAAGAGAAATTCATTGAACAAACTGTTTTGCGACAAGAAAATCGGTTAGATGTTTTTTTAAGTGGCATTAAATTTCAAACGTTTCATAAATTACTAGATAAGTGCGAAACGGATTGAATGAAAGGATCAAAAATGTCATGTGGAAGAGGGTTAGATGAAGCGTTAAACTGGGCAAAAAAAAAAGAAAAAAAATCCCAAGGCTTAATGAACTGATGAATTAAGCGCAAATGGTTTCCTAGTGTTATAAATAAATTTTTGAAAAAAAATCTATTTCAGATATATGTTTTTCTTATGTGAACATCTATTAAAATTATTAAAAAATATTCAGAAATCTATGAATTTCTTTTCTTTTTGCTAAAAATATATTATCCGTCTAAACGTGAAGAAAACTGAATCAAAAAACAGTCAGAAAAAGACGAATATTTGGAATTTTTTTCCTAAAAATATGATCTAATTAATAATAATTGTTACATTTCTATCTAAGTGTATATTTGAAAAAATTCTAGTTCAAATAAATGTTTTCCTTAAATGAACATCTGCTAAAATCACTAAAAAATATTCAAAAATCTGTGGGTTTTTTTCTTTCCGTTAAAAATACTCATCATTTCCCAGATATTCCAGCTATAAAAGTTAATTAATACACTTTCCATCCGAATTTGAGGTATAGTTATCTAAGTGCTGAAGTGATGATAAAGTGAAGATAATGTTGATAATTACAACTATAACGATAATAAACGACATCAGTATCGATATTTCACAGCTAATATTTTCATTGCTTAGAATAACTTTGCCCGTGAGAAAAACACATCACTTATTGTTCCTGCGTTTGCAAAGCTCAGTGGAATTTCAAGCATAAAGTTCAAACATCACTGCTTGAATGAGGATTATGGATTTAAGAGTCATAAAATGATTTTCGAACAACAAGGAAAAAGAAAAAATGAAATGGAAAAAACAGGAAAAGAATACAACTGCTCTTCAGCATGCTGAGAAAGTTCGGTTTGTACCCTGGATGACTTCCGTATCGATGATGATTGAAACAAACAAAGAGAAAAGATATTCAAATCAGTTACGTACCTTTTTCTTACACCTAATTGACATTTTATCACCGGTCAAACCGAGTTGAGCAAGTTCCAACGCCATTTGCTTCGCATTGATCCCACAGTTATTGGCGACATTACGCTGGCAACTACAATAATATTACGTGCGGTTTACTATACTTGTATGATTGAAGTACCATAAGTACAATTCAAAAATAAATTTTATAATTCTTTTAAATCAGTGGTTCTCAATTCTTTATTGAGCAAGGATCATTTTGGTGTTTTCTTTTATTTATAGCAGAGGTCATAAGTTTCAAAAATAACCAATTCTGTTAGTTTGAAAAGAAACTTGAATCGAAACTTTTAATGTATTAGTTTATCAAACATTTATAAGAACAATCTCCACCTGTTTTCTAATCACCGCACCGCACCGCTACCCTTGCGGATCACGAATAGGGAACTACTGAATTAAATTAAAGATGGAAAATCCTTTAACAAACTGAATTAAACACAATTATGTTCACAAAACTTTTGATAAATTTCTTTGAATTCGAAAATGGCTTCATAAAAGGATGTAACAAATGTAAAAACTTTTAAAATTTCGCAAAACTTACTACAAATCCTCATTTTTCGACAAGAACAAATGGGAGAAGTAAACTTTTGTCGGTTACTGAGTAATAACAATCGAGACTATTTTCTAATTAATTAGTATTTTAACCAGCGTGCGCTTTTTTTATTTTAATGTGTTTTTAGATTTCAACAAAAGATTTTCAAGTTGGAAGGGGGAAGAATTCGCAGAATGAAAGACGAGAGGAGATTTGCTTGGTATTTGACAAAGAAACTCGCATTCATGAGCTCAGCCAAATCACGACTTCAAAATGGCCTGCTCGCTTATGGGATTCCTTTAGACTGGATTGAAAATACTGTCAGTTACAAATTCCTACGACAATAAATATGCGAAAAGATGTAAGCATTATATTGATAACTAACAATAATAAATCAATTTGTCACATGAAGTTTCTTCATATTTTTTGATAAACATTGTGATGACGACGGAAACTGTGCTAGAATAGAGAAGAAAGGACTAGGACAGATGCATGGTCAAATCAGGTAAGCATCGAATTTTTTGCCAGGGACGTTTAGATTCTGACTGTATTCATCCGATGCACTCTTATTCCAGCAACCGCGGTATTTATCTGAGAAATCTTGATGATTATATTCAGAATAACATATTTGTTGATAGAGACACAAGTTCCTGTCATTCAGTGAAAATTCATAATGACATCGTTCAGTCATAGATTTCATTATAAAGTGTGATCCCATGGTATTAAGTACTATAAGTTTGTTAAATAACGTGAGTAAAGAGATTTTGAACAATGCAATGGATGGAAAGGAGAGAACGTGCATTGGATAATTGGATAATTGGATCAAAGTTCTCAGCCGGAAATGAGGTTTGAAAGAATCAAAATTAAAATAACAAACCGTTTGTGTACATTGAGTTTACAAACAGAGCACTGTAATCCTTGATTGATCAAGCCATAGAGCATTGAACCACAATGATCGCAAAATGTTGGCCGCTTATAACTGTGAACTGTGAAACGATGCGGCATATTAATGTTGAATCGACCAAGGCCCTGCTGTAAGATATTTATTTTAGCAAAACTCGTATCCAAAAATAAGCTCTATGGAAGTGGTTTAAAAATTTGGTGGATCCTATCAAAGGTTGTTGAGTAATTAAAAATGTAAAACAAAAGTAGAGAAAAAGATAGTTGAGATGAAAACATTCACCTAAATAAGATGCAAAGAACCATTTTGGATCTCGAAAAATCTCAAAAATCCATCCAAATCACAAAAATCGAAATGAATTGGTAAATTTTAGGTTTCCTTTATCTAAAGAATGCCCTTCAAAAGTACTTGGGGAAAAGCTAATATTAGCTCAAATTTGTTGCTTGTTTAAGAAGTAAATTGAGATGAGAAGTATTGTTTTTGAAGTATTTAAAACCAAAGATTACAGAAATCTGCCTTTAATTTAATTCCATTATCATGTAATATATTTTTTGTAATTAAAAAGAATTTCTGGGGCTGAAAGATTCCAAGAAATTGCGAAGAACTGGTAGAATTAAAAGATTATTAGTTTCATGAAAATTCTCTCGGATCTTCAAAGTGATGAACTTTGGGAGCAACATTTTGTAGAAATACATTAGGATTAACTATTATATCCAGCATCCTTCCATCATGATGTGAATTTGAGTATTTCTATATATTTAAAAGTTTTATTTCAACACAGGAATGAACAGTGAAGGGAAAAGTTTACCTTGGCTGCTTCAGTTTGCAATTCATCGATGGCATTGGTCCGACTTCCGGGACATTTCCATATCACTTGTTCATGACATCGTTTGTGTACAACTACAGTGCATGCTTAAAACACAATTTCAATCCTTTTCTAATATTGAAAAACTTTCTCGGTTGAAATTCTCGGATTTTATTTCCCAAAAACTTAAGAAAACAAGGCCATTCGTAAACTTCATGAAAATTTTGAAGGTTTAAATTAGTTTCAAAATAAATTTGACTTCCAACAGTTTAATTTCTTATTTATAATATTGCGTCGTTCCCTTCAAATCATAAGACATATTCAAATTCATAAGACATATCACAAGACATGTTAGGTATCTCAAACTATGTGTATATTTCCGTCAAAAGATGTATTTATAAAAAAATTAAAAAATCACAAAATGAAGTTTAAATTCGGATACCTAACAGGTATCTAACGCTTTTGTTAAACTTTTTCACACCTGTTTTTCTTTCTAAAAAATGTTGACGACAACAGACTATATGTTCGTTCAATCTCTGAGTTAGAACGATAATACTACGTTTCTCAATGCTTTCAGATCTCAGTATGACGAAAATTACATTAGCCAAAGGACAAAAGTAATCCAGGGATGGTATGAAAAGTTATAGAAGAGAATAAACATCATCCTTCCGTCTATACATCTCACAAAATTACGAATTACAGGTAAGAAATACCAAACTAAGGAATTAAGAAATACCTAAGAAATACTAAGAAATAACTAAGAAATATCCGTCAAAAATAAAAATTTTATAAAAATAAAAAAGGACTTCTAGTTTTGTTCCTTCTTGTTATCCCTTGAGCCAAATTTTTAATTTAGATATATAACTTTAACTTACTTTGACATTGGTAACCTTGTTTGCCAAGTCCCCAAATAAAATCTTTACAATGGGCGCAAAAAGTTGGCTGTCGCAAAAATAAGGCTATAAATTTGTGTCCCGTAACCTAAATTAAGCTGAATTACAATAACTTTACAGGATTTTCTTTTTGAATTAGATAAATTTACTTTGACATTGGTAGCCTCATTTTCCTGAAATAGAAAAGGGAAAAAGCAGCAGACAAAAGTTATCAAGCAGAACAAGGCATCAAATTATGCTTATTTAAATGAATTGCTGCTTGCAAGGAAATAATTAAAAACCTCATGGATTTTTCGGCGCATTGCACCTCGCCGTTGTCGACTACTGAATGCATCGATGTGTTCCCGAAAAACCCGCTCTTTCTTACTAGCATTATTTTGAGGTGTCTCTAAATAAATACAATTTTACAGTGAACTTTTCTTCAAGAAAGTCTTCCTATAACCCGCTGCATGAGCAATTCCATTTTGCGAAGCAATAATGGACTTAATAAAACTTTCGAAGTTGATGAATCTATCTCGAAAATTTAGAAATTTTAAAAAGTTGGCGAAATTTATGCTAACCTTCACTTAATGAACCTTGCAATTCAATGAGCAAATGGAGCTTTCCATGTGGCTCTAGATCAATCTAGAAAGATAAAATACAAAATCCAGATGTCTCTTAAATATTCCTTCCCTCCTAATTCAAACATAATGATTTCTATAAGGAGTTTCAGTTCATACCCAGACGTCATTTTTTGTCCAAATTTTGAGATCCTCGAATAGTATGCGACAGTTCGCCACAAAATCATCAGGAGGTAAGGCGCAGTCATGAAACACGGTAAATGCAAGCTCACGACCATCATGAACTTCAGTCTGTGAAAATAAAAATTTTTGTCGTATCACAATCAACATTGTCCAGTGTTCATAATTTCAAATTATTGGCACAATTTAAATAGAACTAAGATGAAACCTCATAATCCTCGTTCCAAACAGGCATGCAAGTCTTCGGACGGGTCAATGTTTCACCGATATGATTCTCATCACAATCAATATTTACATATACATCCAATAATGCCGTCTCTTTCAAATTTGTTGTAAATCTGTGAAAGGATTTTTTAACCGAAATAAAAACTTCTCAAAACATCTCTTTAATGTCACCGCTGTCCACTGAATGATTTGTTAATCCAACAAGATTCCTTCATAGGGGTTTGTTTAGTGGGATGCTTGGAGACAACACCTTTCGCTACTGAATTTTCTAGAGGTATTGCAATGGAAGTCCAGCCACTACATGTCGCTTTGATAGGTTTATGACATAAGCAAGTGTCATCCTAATTCTAGAAGCATAAAACAGAGAAGAAAAAAATAAAACAGAAAAAAAACCTAGAAACATAAAACAGAGAAGTGATCCATTGTACCAACCTTTTCGACCACTCGGTAGGTCGGAGATCACGAGCTTCTACAACTTTTATAAGAGCAATTCCGTTGAAAACTGTCATGACCATATATAGTTACTTCACCATATCTTTTAACACTGAGGAATAAGTTGAAAAAAGTTAAGAACTCAGTTTAACAGGACAATTCGATGAAAATTCTTCAAAAAAAGAAAAAATTAAAAATAAAAAATAAACAAAATATGGACATCGTTTATTTCGTTCTTTACTAACTTCATCAATTTTTTTTTCAACCTAACAAGCACAATGCTTGAAGATAAATAATCAGTCAGTAATATGGAATCTGTATTAACATTACCAATCAAAATTATCCTGGAACATTGTCTTGTAGGAAACGAAATGGATGAAGTCATGATTAACACAATATTGAAGGATGAACAATACAAGTAGATAAGGAATGCCGGAATGAGGAAGATGTTGAGTTTAACCGGATAAAGGAGTGCAAAAGTTGGAAAGTATTGAATGACATGGGATTAAGCATTTTGGGGGAGATAATTAGTGCCAATTTCTCAATCGTAGTGAAGTTTTGAAATAGAGATTGAGTTATCCAAACGGGAAGACGGGAAGGGAAATTTGATGTTTTTTTCCGGATAAATCCACTCATTCATATCTTCATTTTTTTTGCTTTTTACTGAATATAAGTCCCTTTGTGTTACCTTGCTGATTTTTCCTTCATATGGTTTTTGTCTCTTCCATTTTTGTTTTTTATTCAAAATTTTTAACCAGAAAACTGGATCAGATCAAAGCTTCTAAATGGGAATTTGATTAAAGGAAATGGTATAATATTGAAAATGAAAAAAAAGAGGTCATTTCGGCAAATGATGGAAGTATGCCATACTTTCAGAAATGACAATAGATGCTTAAGGATTGGGAATACCTGAGAAAGCTTTCAGGTTTGAGGTCATCTGAGAAAGCCTTAAGGCTTGAGAACATCTGGGGATGGACTGATGACGAAGTGACGCGAATTGTGGAGGAAAAGTGGAAAAAATAGCAGTTATGGCTTCCGATTGGTCCTATAGTTATATCTACTTACAAATAAAACAGGCCTTTCGTAGCCAATAGGTACATACATATACACATACATACATACATACATACATACATGCACACACACACACACACACACACACACACACACACACACACACACACACACACACACACACACACACACACACACACACACACACACACACA